TGTGTGTGTGTGTGTGTGTGTGTGTGTGTGTATGTGTATGTGCCTGTTTGGGGGTGGGGGGGTCTTCCTCCTGTAAAAGTGTATTAATTTGGGTTTTCTTAATACTGGGATTGACGTACTGGTTAGCTCCTTTTTCATCGTTTCCTTTTGGAATTGGCTCGTTTGAAAACGTCATTATGACTTGCTCAAGATGTGGGATATATCATCATCAGGATCGAGAGTTTTGGGATATTCCATCATAAGATTAAAGAAATGTGGGATCAAGTGATATGGGATCAAGAGATATGGGATCAAGAGATGTGGGATCAAGTGATATGGGATCAAGAGATATGGGATCAAGAGATGTGGGATCAAGAGATGTGGGATCAAGAGATATGGGATCAAGAGATGTGGGATCAAGAGATATGGGATCAAGAGATATGGGATCAAGTGATATGGGATCAAGAGATATGGGATCAAGAGATATGGGATCAAGAGATGTGGGATCAAGAGATATGGGATCAAGAGATGTAGGATCAAGAGATGTGGGATATTTCATCATCAGGGCCAAGAGATGTGGGGTAGTTCATTATTAAGCTCATGAGATTTGGGATATTTCATCACCAGGATCAAAAGATATGGGATCAAGAGATGAGGGATCAAAAGATGAGGGATCACGAGAAAGGGGATCAAGAGACGAGAGATCAAAAGAAGTTTGGTATTTCACCGTCAGGGTTAAGAGATATGGGACATTTTAGCTTCGGTATACCGGCATCTGTGACGTGGCGGTTAGGCACTTCGCTGTCGCATGCTGGAGACCCAAGCTCGATTCCTGAGTATCTTGGTCTTTCTGTGTCATTCTCAGTTCGGGTTGTCCCTGACAGGCAGGCTCGGAAGCCCAACTCCTGAATGATCTGAATTGTGTCAATATGGGCGTAGAAATACCTACATTTAAAATTTAAAAATCACCAGACCATGAGGTATGGAATTATCTCAGCAATCACATACACTGCACACATCGTACGCTGAATGGTACCTTGTGCTAACTCCAGTTTTCAACTTTGGGGCTTTTGTCATAGCTGTTTAGGCTGTTTAAAAATCTGCGAGTGGTTGAAGGGTGCTCTGGTGTGGTTTGTTCCTTCTTTTCAATCAAACGTCTATCGTCCTGATCTCTGTTTATTTATATTTTTTTGGTGTAGGTTACTCTGTTGTAACACCTCTGATCTTCGGCATTTATATGATCTTATTGCGTCGCAAGTGCTGTAAAACTCTAAATGAACAAAATGACAACAACAAAAAAAAAACATGTAAAAGAAATTGTCTTATAAGGCCATTTTCCATTACAACTTCCCTTTAATTTTAAAGTAAGTAACTTTCGTTTACTCGTTTAGAAAGCAGTGCTTTAATCAAAAATTTAAACGTTTACATTTTATTGATCCCCGTGGGGAAATTTTGATTACAATGGCAAGCGTACATACATAAATACATAATCAAACACTTGCTTTCAAAGCGGTTTTCGTAAATATTGGAAAAACAGAGTTAGTACAAGGTAACGCTAAGCCAGCGACAAAAAGGAGTTGAAACAATAGGTGTCCGGCTTATGGTTCCCGGTTTCGGGTACCTGGCCTGGATGTTGTGCATTTGGCGCTGGGGGGAGGGGGCATAGTTTACTGAGGACGGAAACAGATGCAATAACAGTGAAGACAGCCAGAGCAACTGCAAGGCAAAAACAAAGAGAACAATTAAGTAACAGTAACATGGCCAGCAGCTGCAGCAACAGTAGCAGAAAGGAAAGTAGCCACAGCAGCAGCCACTGCTGTAGCAACAGGAGCAGAAACAGAGACAGCAGCAACAAAAGAAACAGCAGCAGAATTCAACAGTTTCAGCCCCATAGACAAGAAGAGCTGCAATAACAGCAACAGCAACAGCAACAGCAACAACAACAGCAATAGTGTCAATATCAGTCACAAACAGGAGGAACAATAGCAACAAATGCAGCAGTCGTGATAGGAGAAAAAACCCCAGCAGCGTCAACGGTAGCAACAATAGAAAAAACAGCTGTAACAGCAACCACATCAACAACAGTAGTGACAATAACAGCAGCCGTGACAGCAAAAACAGCAGTGACAACAGTGACAGCAGCGACAACAACGACAGGAACAACAGCAACAAAGCAGTGACAGCAACAACAGCAACAACAGCCACAACAGCAAGAACAGC